CCTATATCCAAGAAGGCAAAAGACTATGAATTGAAAAGAAATGTGGAGAAGGCAATGAAAAACAACTCTACTATCTTTCCCCAAGAAGATAATAAAGAAAATGTCAAAGATAATGAAAAGCAATAAGGAATCTGTGGATCTGAGAAGGCAATGAAAAGCCTATATCTTTTCCCAAGAAGACAAATGAATTGAAAGGTAATAAAGAAAAGGAATCTGAGAAGAATGAACAACCACTCCATCTTTCCCAAGAAGAAATGGCTGAGAAATTCAAAGATAATCCCAAGAAGGCAAAAAAAATGAATCTGTGGAGAGCCATGATTGCCTATAGCAAAAGAGAGAAAAAGACTATGAATTGAAAAAGTGTAAAGAAGGCAATGGAAAACCACTCTACTATCTTTCTCAAGAAGACATGGCAAGAAGGCAAAAAAGATAATAAAGAAAAGGAATCTGTGGAGAGCCATGATTGCCTATATCCTGAAGAGAGAAAGACTATGAATTGAAAAGTGTGATAGGTAATAAAGGCAATGGAAAACCACTCTATATATCTTTCTCAAGAAGACATGGCAATTCAAAGATAATAAAGAAAAGGAATCTGTGGAGAGCCATGATTGCCTATATCCTGCAAAGAGAGAAAGAAATGAATTGAAAATGATGGAGAAAGTGGTGGAATGGAAATTCAAAGATAATAAAGAAAAAGAATCTGTGGAGAGCCATGATTGCCTATATCCTGAAGAAGAAAAAGAAATGAATTGAAAAAAGAAAATGTATCTGAGCAATGAAATGACCAGTCGGCAATATACCATCTTTCCCAAGAAGGCAAAAGAAATGAAAGATAATAAAGAAAAAATCTGAGGAGAGCCATGAATGTCTATATCCTGAAGAGATCTTTCCTAAGAATTGAAAAAGTGGAGAAGGAAAAAAGAAAATGTCTGAGAAGATCTTTCTCAAGAAGACATGGCATCTTTCCAAAGAGGCAAAAAAAAGGAATAAAGAAAATGTATCTGAGAAGCCATGATTGCCTATATGGAAGAGAGAAAGACTATGAATTGAAAAGTGTGGAGAAGGCAATGGAAAACCACTTTCTAATCAAAAGAAATGGCAAGGAAATAAAGAAAATAAAGAAAAGGAATCTGTGGTAATATATTGCCTATATCAAGAAGAGAGAAAGGAATGAATTGAAAATGTATGGAGAAGATTCATGAAAAACACTCTACTATCTTTCTCAAGAAGGCATGGCAATTCAAAGAAAATAATAAAGAAAAGGAATCTGTGGAGAGCCAAGGATTGCCTATATCCTAAGAAGAGAAAAAAGAAATGAATTGAAAAGTGAAAGAAGGCAATGGAAAAACCACTATACTATCTTTCCTCAAGAAGGCAAAAGAAATGGCAAATCAAAGAAAATAAAGATGAAAGGAATCTTTCCCAAGAAGGCAAAAAAAAATGATAGGAAATAAAGAGCCATGATTGCCTATATCCTGAAGCAAAAAGACTATGAATTGAAAAAGTGTGGAGAAGGCAATGAAAAACCACTCTACTATCTTTCCCAAGAAGGCAAAAGAATTCAAAGATAATAAAGAAAAGGAATCTGAGGAGAGCCATGATTGCCTATATCCTGAAGAGAGAAAGACAAAATGAATTGAAAAGTGTGGAGAAGGCAATGAAAAACCACTATACTATCTTTCCCAAGAAGGCATGGCAATTCAAAGATAATAAAAGAAAAGGAATCTGTGGAGAGCCATGATCGCCTATATCCTGAAGAGAGAAAGACTATGAATTGAAAAGAGTGGAGAAGGAATGGAAAACCACTATACTATCTTTCCCAAGAAGGCAATGGAATTCAAAGATAATAAAGAAAAAGGAATCTGTGGAGAGCATGATGATTGCCTATATCCTTTCCCAAGAAGGCAAAAGAAATGAAAGGTAATAAAGAAAATGAAAAAATGAAGTCTACAATATATCTTTCCCAAGAAGGCAAAAGAAATGAAGGAAATAAAGAAAATGATCTGAGAAATTTAGATATCGGCAATATAATCTTTTCCCAAGAAAATAAAGAAAAAGGAAATGAGAACATGATTATACCATTTCCCAAGAAAAAATGACTATGAATTGAAAACAATGAAAACCATACTATCTTTCCCAAGAAGGCAAAAAAAATGAAAGGAAATAAAGAAAAGGAATCTGTGGAGAGAACAGTCGGATTACCATATATCCTGAAGAGGCAAAAGAAATGAAGGAAAAGAAAATGTGGAGAAGGCAATGGAAAACCACTATACTATCTTTCTCAAGAAGACATGGCAATTCAAAGATAGGAAATAAAAATGAATCTGAGAAGAGCCATGATTGCAATATATATCCTTTCCCAAGAAGGAAAAGAAATGAAAAAAGTGGAGAAGATGAATGGAAAACCACTATACTATCTTTTCCAAGAAGGCAAAAGAAATCAAAGATAATAAAAGAAAATGAATCTGAGAGAGCCATGATTGCCAATATCCTGAAGAGAGAAAAGAAGGAAAAGAAATGATAGGTGGAGAAGGTAATGAGAAATGAATCGGCAATATACTATCTTTCCCAAGAAGGCAAAATGGAAATTCAAAGAAATAAAGAAAATGTATCTGAGAAGAGCCATGATTGCCTATATCCTGAAAGAAGGCAAAAAGAAATGAAAGGAAGAAATGTATCTGAGAAAAACAGTCGGCAATATACCATCTTTCCTAAAAAAGAAATGGAAATAAAGAAAATGTATCTGAGAAGAGGAATGCAATATACCATCTTTCCCAAGAGAAAAAGAAATGACTATGAAAAGAAAAGTGTGGAGAAGGCAATGGAAAACCACTATACTATCTTTTTCCCAAGAAGGCAAAAGAAATTCAAAGATAATAAAGAAATGAATCTGAGAAGAGAGCCATGATTGCCTATATCCTGAAGAGAGAAAGATATGAATTGAAAATGTATGGAGAAGGCAATGAAAAACCACTATACTATCTTCCCAAGAAGGCAAATGGAAAAAGAAATAAAGAAAGGAAAAGAAAAAGATATCTGAAGGAGAGCCATGAATTGGATCTGAGGGCAATATACCATCTTTCCCAAGAAGGCAAAAGAAATGATAGAAAATAAAAAATGTGAGAAGGCAATGAAAGTCCAATATACCATCTTTTCCCAAGAAGGCAAAAAGAAATGATAGGAAATAAAAGAAAATGAATCTGAGAAGATTCATGAACAGTTGCCAATATACCATCTTTTCCCAAGAAGAAAAAAGAAATAAAGAAAATGAATTGAAGAAAATGCAAATATACCATCTTTCCTAAGAAGGAAAAGATAGGAAATAAATGGAGAAGATTCCAATATACCATCTTTCCCAAGAAGGCAAAAAGAAATGAAAGATAATAAAGAAAATGAATCTGAGAAGATGAACCATCGGATATACCATATATCCAAGAAGGCAAAAGAAAGACTATGAATTGAAAAATGTGGAGAAGGCAATGAAAAACCAATATACCATCTTTCCCAAGAAGACAAAAGAAATGAAAGATAAGAAAAATCTGAGAAATTCATGAAGAGCCATGATTGCCATATATCCCCAAAGAAAAGACTATGAATTGAAAAGATAGGAAGGCAAGGAAAATGTATCTTTCTGAAGAACATGAAAAGATAATAAAATATACTATCTTTCCCAAGAAGGCAAAAGAAATGAAGGAAATAAAGAAAATGAATCTGAAGAGATGAACAGTCGGCAATATACCATCTACTATCTTCCCCAAGAAGGCAGAAAATGAAAGGAAAAAAGAAAATGTATCTGAGATGATTCATGAAAGGCAATATACCATCTTCCCAAGAAGGCAAAAGAAATGATAGGAAATAAAGAAATGTGTGAGAAGATTCATGAAAACCACAATATACTATCTTTCCCAAGAAGGCAAAAAGAAATTCAAAGGAAATAAAGAAAATGAATCTGAGAAGATTTATGAACAGTCGGATTACCATCTTTATCCAAGAAGGCAAAAGAAATGATGAAATTGAAAATGTATGGAGAAGGCAATGAAAACCACAATATACTATCTTTCCTAAGAAGGCAAAAGAAATGATAATTCAAAGAAAATAAAGAAAAAAGAGATCATGAAGAGCGGCAATATACCATATTTCCCAAGAAGCAAAAGAAATGATGAATTAAAGAAAATGTATCTGAGAAGGCAATGAAAACCAATATACCATCTTTCCCAAGAAGGCAAAAAGAAATTGAAAGGAAATAAAGAAAATGAATCTGGAGAGATGACATGAACATATCCTGAATAGACCATCTTTCCTAAGAATGAAAGAAATGATAGGAAAAAAGAAATGTATGAGAAGATTCAAACCACTCGGCAAAAATCTTTCCCAAGAAGGCATGGAATTGAAAGGAAATAAAGAAAAGAAATGAAGAGAATATACTATCTTTCCAAGAAGAAAAAATATGATTATAAGTAAAACAAATAAATATACCATCTTTCCCAAGAAGGAAAGGAAAAAAGAAATGATAGGAATGAAAAGAAAATGAATCTGAGAAGGAAATGAACAAACCAATATACTATCTTTTCCCAAGAAGGCAAAAAAGAAATTCAAAGAAATAAAGAAAATGAATCTGAGAAGATTCATGAACAGTCGGCAATATACCATGAAGAGAAGAAGGCAAAAGAAATGATAGGAAATAAAAAAATGTATCTGAGAAGGCAATGAAAACCAATATACTATCTTTCCCAAGAAGACATGGAAATGAAGGAAATAAAAAATGTATCTGAAAAGGAATCTGTGGAGTCGGTAATGATACCATCTTATCCAAGAAGCAAAAAGAAATGATAGGAAATAAAGAAAATGTATGGAGAAGGCAACAAAAACCAATATACCATCTTTCCCAAGAAGACAAAAGAAATGATAGATAATAAAGAAAATGTATCTGAGAAGAGCCATGAATTTCCAAAGAAAAAGAAATGATAGGAAATAAAGAAAAAGAGAGGCAAAAAACCAAATCAAGAAGGCAAAAAAATGATAAAAATAAAAGAAAATGAATCTGAGAAGAGCCATGCATTATACCATCTTTCCCAAGAAGGCAAAAGAAATGATAGGAAAAAAGAAAAATGACTGAGAAGATTGAACAGTCGGCAATATACCATCTTTCCCAAGAAGGCAAAAGAAATGATAGGAAATAAAGAAATGTATCTGAGAAGATTCATGAAAACCAATATACTATCTTTCCCCAAGAAGGCAAAAGAAATGAAAGATAATAAAGAAAATGTATCTGAGAGAGCCATGATTGCCTATATCTTTCCCAAGAAGGCAAAGAGAAAAAGACATGAACATGAATTGAAAAGAAGGGAAAAGAAATGATAGGAAATAAAGAAAATGTCTTTTCCCAAGAAGACATGGTAATTCAAAGAACAAAGAAAAGCATGAATATACCATGATTTCCTAAGAAGGAAAAGAGAAATGATAGGAAAAAAGAAAATGTATCTGAGAAGATTCAATGAACAAACCAATATACCATCTTCCCAAGAAGGCAAAAGAAAAAGAAATAAAGAAAGGAATCTGAGAAAGAATTGCCTATATCCTGAAGAGGAAAGAAAATGAATTGAAAAGTGTGGAGAGGAACAGTCGGAAAATACCACTATCTTTCCTCAAGAAGACAAAAGAAATGATAGGAAATAAAGAAAATGAATCTGAGGAGAGCCATGAACAGTGCAATATACCATCCAAGAAGGCAAAAAAAAAAAGAAAAAGAAAGAAAAGGTAATTGAAAAATGTGGAGAAGGCAATGATAGGAATAAAGAAAACCAATCTACTATCTTTCCCAAGAAGGCAAAAGAAATGAAAGATAATAAAGAAAATGAATCTGAGGAGAGCCATGAACAGTCGGCTATATCCCATTTTCCCAAGAAGGCAAAAAGTGTGGAGAAGGAAATAAAGAAAATGTATCTGAGAAGATTCAAGAAAGACATGGCATCTTTCCAAAGATAACAAAAGAAAAAGGAAAAGAAATGTAGAGCCATGATTGCAATATTATATCCAAGAAGGCAAAAAAAAGAGAAAGAAAATGAATTGAGAAGATTCATGAACAGCAATGGAAACCAATATACTATCTTTCCCAAGAAGGCAAGGCAAAAAAGAAATAAAGAAAGGAAATGGAAAGAAAATGTATCTGAAGAAAAAGATGATAGGAAATGAAAAGTGGCAATATACCATGAAGAGAAGAAGGCAAAAGAAATGATAGGAAATAAAGAAAAGAGATGAATCTGAGAAGATTCATGAAAAGAATCTCGGCAATATACCATCTTTTCCTGAAGAAGGCAAAAGAAATGATAGGAAATAAAGAAAATGTATCTGGAGAAGGCAAAGTCGGCAATATACCATCTTTCCTAAGAAGGCAAAAAGAAATTCAAAGAAATAATAAAAATGTATCTGAGAATGAACAGAAATATACCATATTTCCTAAGAAGGCAAAAAGAAATGATTGAAAATAAAGAAATGTATCTGAGAAGATGGAAAGTCCAATATACCATCTTTCCCAAGAAGGCAAAAAGAAATGAAAGGAAATAAAGAAAAGGAATCTGAGAAGAGAACAGATTGTAATATATATCCCAAGAAGGCAAAAGAAAGAAAGGAAATAAAGAAAAATGTATCTGAGAAGATTCATGAAACCATACCATCTTTTCCCAAGAAGGCAAAAGAAATTCAAAGGAAATAAAGAAAATGAATCTGAGAAGAGCATGAACAGTCGGCAATATACCATATTTCAAGAAGGCAAAAAGAAATGATAGAAATAAAAGAAAATGTATCTGAGAAGATTCATGAAAGTCGGTAATAATATACCATCTTTTCCCAAGAAGGCAAAAAAGAAATGATAGGAAATAAAAAGAAAATGAATCTGAGAAGATTCATGAACAGTCGGCAATATACCATCTTTCCCAAGAAGGCAAAAAGAAATGATAGAAAAAGAAAATGTATGAGAAGAATGAAAGAAATACCATCTTTCCCAAGAAGGCAAAAGAAATGAAAAAAATGTATCTGAGAAGATTCAATGAACAGTCGGCAATATACTTTCTTTCAAGAAGAAGGCAAAAGAAATGATAGGAAATAAAGAAAAATGTATCTGAGAAGAATGAACAGTCGGCAATATACCATCTTTCCCAAGAAGGCAAAAGAAATGATAGGTAATAAAGAAAATGTATCTGAGAAGATTCATGAACAGTCGGCAATATACCATCTTTCCCAAGAAGGCAAAAGAAATGATAGGTAATAAAGAAAATGTATCTGAGGAGAGTCATGAACAGTCGGCAATATACCATCTTTCCCAAGAAGGCAAAAGAAATGATAGGAAATAAAGAAAATGAATCTGAGAAGATTCATGAAAACCAATAATACTATCTTTCCCAAGAAGTCAAAAAGAAAATGATAGGAAATAAAGAAAATGTATCTGTGGAGAGTCATGAACAGTCGGAAATATACCATCTTTTAAAGAAAGAAGGCAAAAGAAATGATAGGAAATAAAGAAATGTAGATGATTTATGAAAAGTCGGCAATATACCATCTTTCCCAAGAAGGCAAAAGAAATGATGAAAAAAGAAAATGTATCTGAGAAGATTCATGAATATACCATCTTTTCCCAAGAAGGCAAAAGAAAATGATAGGAAATAAAGAAAATGTATCAGAGTAGATTTATGAACAGTCGGCAATATACCATCTTTCCCAAGAAGGCAAAAGAAATGATAGTAAATAAAGAAAATGAATCTGAGGAGAGTCATGAACAGTCGGCAATATACCATCTTTCCCAAGAAGGCAAAAAAATGAAATAAAGAAATGTATCTGAGAAAATGAATCTGAGGAAGATTCATGAAGGCAAAAGAAATGATAAAATAAAGAAAATGTATCTGAGAAGGCATGAAAGAAATGATAATATACCATCTTTCCCAAGAAGGAAAAAGAAATGATAGGAAATAAAAAAAATGTATCTGAGAATTCATGAACAGAAAACCAATATACCATCTTTCCCAAGAAGGCAAAAGAAATGATAGGTAATAAAGAAAATGAATCTGAGAAGATTCATGAACAGTCGGCAATATCTTTCCCAAGAAGGCAAAAGAAGGCAAAAGAAATGATAGGAAAATAAAGAAAATGTATGTCAATGAAAAACCATACCATCTTTCCCAAGAAGGCAAAAAGAAATGATAGGAAATAAAAGATGTATCTGAGAATTCATGAACAGTCGGCAATATACCATCTTTTCCCAAGAAGGCAAAAGAAAAAGGAAATAAAAAAATGTATCTTTTTGAGAAGATTCATGAAAGAAATGGCAATATATACCATCTTTTCCCAAGAAGGCAAAAGAAATGATAGGAAATAAAGAAAATGTATCTGAGAAGATTCATGAACAGTCGGCAATATACCATCTTTTCCCAAGAAGGCAAAAGAAATGATAGGAAATAAAGAAAAATGTATCTGAGAAGATTCATGAACAGTCGGCAATATACCATCTTTCCCAAGAAGGCAAAAAGAAATGATAGGAAATAAAGAAAATGTATCTGAGAAGATTCATGAAAGTTGGCAATATACCATCTTTCCCAAGAAGGCAAAAAGAAATGATAGATAATAAAGAAAATGTATCTGAGAAGATTCATGAACAGTCGGCAATATACCATCTTTCCCAAGAAGGCAAAAAGAAATGATAGGAAATAAAGAAAATGTATCTGAGAAGATTCATGAAAGTCGGCAATATACCATCTTTCCCAAGAAGGCAAAAGAAATGATAGGAAATAAAGAAAATGTATCTGAGAAGATTCATGAACAGTCGGCAATATACCATCTTTTCCCAAGAAGGCAAAAAAATGATAGGAAATAAAGAAAATGTATCTGAGAAGATTCATGAACAGTCGGCAATATACCATCTTTCCCAAGAAGGCAAAAAGAAATGATAGGAAATAAAGAAAATGTATCTGAGAAGATTCATGAACAGTCGGCAATATACCATCTTTCCCAAGAAGGCAAAAGAAATGATAGGAAATAAAAGAAAATGTATCTGAGAAGATTCATGAACAGTCGGCAATATACCATCTTTCCCAAGAAGCAAAAAGAAAAAGAAATGATAGGAAATAAAGAAAATGTATCTGAGAAGATTCATGAACAGTCGGCAATATACCATCTTTCCCAAGAAGGCAAAAAAGAAATGATAGGAAATAAAAAGAAAATGTATCTGAGAAGATTCATGAACAGTCGGCAATATACCATCTTTCCCAAGAAGGCAAAAAAGAAATGATAGAAATAAAGAAAATGTATCTGAGAAGATTCATGAACAGTCGGTAATATACCATCTTTCCCAAGAAGGCAAAAGAAATGATAGGAAATAAAGAAAATGTATCTGAGAAGATTCATGAACAGTCGGCAATATACCATCTTTCCCAAGAAGGCAAAAGAAATGAAAAGAAAATGTATCTGAGGAGAATGAACAGTCGGCAATATACCATCTTTCCCAAGAAGGCAAAAAAAATGATAGGAAATAAAAGAAAATGTATCTGAGAAGATTCATGAACAGTCGGCAATATACCATCTTTTCCCAAGAAGCAAAAAGAAATGATAGGAAATAAAGAAAATGTATCTGAGAAGATTATGAACAGTACCAATATACCATCTTTTCCAAGAAGGCAAAAGAAATGATAGGAAATAAAGAAAATGTATCTGAGAAGATTCATGAACAGTCGGCAATATACCATCTTTTCCCAAGAAGGAAAAAAAGAAATGATAGGAAATAAAGAAAATGTATCTGAGAAGATTCATGAACAGTCGGCAATATACCATCTTTCCCAAGAAGGCAAAAGAAATGATAGGAAATAAAGAAAATGTATCTGAGAAGATTCATGAACAGTCGGCAATATACCATCTTTCCCAAGAAGGCAAAAAAGAAATGATAGGAAATAAAGAAAAAATCTGAGTATCATGAGAAGATTACCATCTTTCCCAAGAAGGCAAAGTCGGAAATAAAGAAAATGTATACATGAACAGTCGGCAATTACCATTTTCCCAAGAAGGCAAAAGAAATGATAGGAAATAAAGAAAATGTATCTGAGAAGATTCATGAACAGTCGGCAATATACCATCTTTCCCAAGAAGGCAAAAAAGAAATGATAGGAAATAAAGAAAATGAATCTGAGAAGATTGAGAAGAACAGTCGGCAATATACCATCTTTCCCAAGAAGGCAAAAAAAGAAATGATAGGAAATAAAAAAATGTATCTGAGAAGATTCATGAACAGTCGGCAATATACCATCTTTTCCCAAGAAGGCAAAAGAAATGATAGGAAATAAAGAAAATGTATCTGAGAAGATTCATGAACAGTCGGCAATATACCATCTTTTCCCAAGAAGGCAAAAAAGAAATGATAGGAAATAAAGAAAATGTATCTGAGAAGAAAATGTATCATGAACCATCTTTCAAGAAATAAACCATGATTTCCCAAGAAATGTATCTGAGAAGATTCATGAACATGATACCATCTTTCCCAAGAAGGCAAAAGAAAATAGGAAATAAAGAAAAATGATCTGAGAAGAGAAAGTCGGCAATATACCATCTTTCCCAAGAAGGCAAAAGAAATGATAGGAAATAAAGAAAATGTATCTGAGAAGATTCATGAACAGTCGGCAATATACCATCTTTCCCAAGAAGGCAAAAAGAAATGATAGGAAATAAAGAAAATGTATCTGAGAAGATTCATGAACAGTCGGCAATATACCATCTTTCCCAAGAAGGCAAAAGAAATGATAGGAAATAAAGAAAATGTATCTGAGAAGATTCATGAACAGTCGGCAATATACCATCTTTCCCAAGAAGGCAAAAGAAATGATAGGAAATAAAGAAAATGTATCTGAGAAGATTCATGAACAGTCGGCAATATACCATCTTTCCCAAGAAGGCAAAAGAAATGATAGGAAATAAAGAAAATGTATCTGAGAAGATTCTAAGAAAGTCGGCAATATACCAAAGAAGGCAAAAGAAATGATAGGAAATAAAGAAATGTATCTGAGAAGATTCATGAACATGGCAATATACCATCTTTCCCAAGAAGGCAAAAAGAAATGATAGGAAATAAAGAAAATGTATCTGAGAAGATTCATGAAACAGTCGGCAATATACCATCTTTTCCCAAGAAGGCAAAAGAAATGATAGGAAATAAAGAAAATGTATCTGAGAAGATTCATGAACAGTCGGAAATAAATATACCATTTTTCCCAAGAAGGCAAAAGAAATGAAAGGAAATAAAGAAAATGTATGAGAAGATTTATGAACAGTCGGCAATATACCATCTTTCCAAGAAGGCAAAAGAAAAGAAATGAAAATAGAGAAATCATGAAAGCAAAAATCTTTTTCCCAAGAAGGTAGAAATGATGAGAAATGTATCTTAGAAGATTCATGAACAGTCGGCAATATACCATCTTTTCCCAAGAAGGCAAAAGAAATGATAGGAAATAAAGAAAATGTATCTGAGAAGATTCATGAACAGTCGGCAATATACCATCTTTCCCAAGAAGGCAAAAAAAAATGATAGGAAATAAAAGAAATGTATCTGAGAAGATTTGAACAGTCGGTAATATACCATCTTTCCCAAGAAGGCAAAAAGAAATGATAGGAAATAAAGAAAATGTATCTGAGAAGATTCATGAACAGTCGGCAATATACCATCTTTCCCAAGAAGGCAAAAAAAAAAATAGGAAATAAAGAAAATGTATCTGAGAAGATGAAAGTCGGAAAAATACCATCTTTCCCAAGAAGCAAAAGAAATGATAGGAAAAAAAAATGATGAGAGGAAATGAAAGAAAAGTATCTTCCCAAGAAGGAAGATATACCATCTTTCCCATCTTTCCCAAGAAGGCAAAAAGAAATGATAGGAAATAAAAGAAAATGTATCTGAGAAGATTCATGAACAGTCGGCAATATACCATCTTTCCCAAGAAGGCAAAAAAGAAATGATAGGAAATAAAGAAAATGTATCTGAGAAGATTCATGAACAGTCGGCAATATACCATCTTTCCCAAGAAGGCAAAAGAAAAATGATAGGAAATAAAGAAAATGTATCTGAGAAGATTCATGAACAGTCGGCAATATACCATCTTTCCCAAGAGAAGCAAAAGAAATGATAAAAAAGAAAAATGAGATGAAGGAAATAAAGAAAAATGAAATGATAGGAAATAAAGAAAATGTATGAGAAAGAACAATATACCATCTTTCCCAAGAAGGCAAAAGAAATGATAGGTAATAAAGAAAATGTATCTGAGGAGAGTCATGAACAGTCGGCAATATACCATCTTTCCCAAGAAGGCAAAAGAAATGATAGGAAATAAAGAAAATGAATCTGAGAAGATTCATGAACAGTCGGCAATATACCATCTTTCCCAAGAAGGCAAAAGAAATGATAGGTAATAAAGAAAATGAATCTGAGAAGATTCATGAACAGTCGGCAATATACCATCTTTCCCAAGAAGGCAAAAAGAAATGAAGAAAGGTATCTGAGAAAAAATGATACCATCTTTCCCAAGAAGGCAAAAGAAATGAAAATGAAAATCTGAGAAGATTCATGAACAGTCGGCAATATACCATCTTTTCCCAAGAAGGCAAAAAGAAATGATAGGAAATAAAGAAAATGTATCTGAGAAGATTCATGAACAGTCGGCAATATACCATCTTTCCCAAGAAGGCAAAAAAAAGAAAAATAGAAAAAAAGAAATGTATCTGAGAATTGAGATTCATGAAAGTCGGCAATATACCATCTTTCCTAAGAAGGCAAAAGAAATGATAGGAAAAAAGAAAATGTATCTGAGAAGATTCATGAATAGAAATAAATAACCATCTTTTCCCAAGAAGGCAAAAAGAAATGATAGGGAAATAAAGAAAATGTATCTGAGAAGATTCATGAACAGTCGGCAATATACCATCTTTCCCAAGAAGGCAAAAGAAATGATAGGAAATAAAGAAAATGTATCTGAGAAGAAGAACAAAATATACCATCTTTCCCAAGAAGGCAAAAAGAAATGATAGGAAATAAAGAAAATGTATCTGAGAAGATTCATGAACAGTCGGCAATATACCATCTTTCCCAAGAAGGCAAAAGAAATGATAGAAAAAAAGAAATGTATCTGAGAAGATTCATGAAAAGTCAAAAATACCATCTTTTCCCAAGAAGGCAAAAAGAAATGATAGGAAATAAAGAAATGTATCTGAGATCTTTCATGAACAGTCGGCAATATACCATTTTCCTAAGAAAAAAGAAATGATAGGAAATAAAGAAAATGTATCTGAGAAGATTCATGAACAGTCGGCAATATACCATCTTTCCCAAGAAGGCAAAAAGAAATGATAGGGAAATAAAGAAATGTATCTTTCCCAAGAAGGAGAAGATTCATGAACAGTCGGCAATATACCATCTTTTCCCAAGAAGGCAAAAAGAAATGATAGGAAATAAAGAAAATGTATCTGAGAAGATTCATGAACAGTCGGCAATATACCATCTTTTCCCAAGAAGGCAAAAAAGAAATGATAGGAAATAAAGAAAATGTATCTGAGAAGATTCATGAACAGTCGGCAATATACCATCTTTCCCAAGAAGGCAAAAAAAGAAATGATAGGAAATAAAGAAAATGGCAATATATTCCTAAGAAGGCAAAAAGAAAGATAGGAAATTCATGAACAGTCGGCAATATACCATCTTTCCCAAAAGAAATGAAGGAAATAAAGAAAAAAGAAGAAATGAACAGTCGGCAATATACCATCTTTCCCAAGAAGGCAAAAGAAATGATAGGAAATAAAGAAAATGATCTGAGAGATTCATGAACAGTCGGCAATATACCATCTTTTCCCAAGAAGGCAAAAGAAATGATAGGAAATAAAGAAAATGTATCTGAGAAGATTCATGAACAGTCGGCAATATACCATCTTTCCCAAGAAGGCAAAAAAGAAATGATAGGAAATAAAGAAAATGTATCTGAGAAGATTCATGAACAGTCGGCAATATACCATCTTTCCCAAGAAGGCAAAAGAAATGATAGGAAAAATAAAGAAAATGTATCTGAGAAGATTCATGAACAGTCGGCAATATACCATCTTTCCCAAGAAGGCAAAAGAAATGATAGGAAATAAAGAAAATGTATCTGAGAAGATTCATGAACAGTCGGCAATATACCATCTTTTCCCAAGAAGGCAAAAGAAATGATAGGAAATAAAGAAAATGTATCTGAGAAGATTCATGAACAGTCGGCAATATACCATCTTTCCCAAGAAGGCAAAAGAAATGATAGGAAATAAAGAAAATGTATCTGAGAAGATTCATGAACAGTCGGCAATATACCATCTTTTCCCAAGAAGGCAAAAAGAAATGATAGGAAATAAAGAAAAAGAAGATTCATGAAAATGTATCTTTGAGAAGAAAGAAAATGTATCTGAAAGATTCGGCAATATACCATCTTTTCCCAAGAAGGCAAAAAGAAATGATAGGAAATAAAGAAAATGTATCTGAGAAGATTCATGAACAGTCGGCAATATACCATCTTTCCCAAGAAGGCAAAAAGAAATGATAGGGAAATAAAGAAAATGTATCTGAGAAGATTAAAGAAAATGAACAGTCGGAACAATATACCATCTTTCCCAAGAAGGCAAAAGAAATGATAGGAAATAAAGAAAATGTATCTGAGAAATTCATGAAAGTCGGCAATATACCATCTTTCTTTCCCAAGAAGGCAAAAGAAATGATAGGAAATAAAAGAAATGTATCTGAGAAGATTCATGAACAGTCGGCAATATACCATCTTTTCCCAAGAAGGCAAAAAGAAATGATAGGAAATAAAGAAAATGTATCTGAGAAGATTCATGAACAGTCGGCAATATACCATCTTTCCCAAGAAGGCAAAAGAAATGATAGGAAATAAAGAAAATGTATCTGAGAAGATTCATGAACAGTCGGCAATATACCATCTTTCCCAAGAAGGCAAAAAGAAATGATAGGAAATAAAGAAAATGTATCTGAGAAGATTCATGAATGAACAGTCGGCAATATACCATCTTTCCCAAGAAGGCAAAAGAAAAGAAATAAAGAAAATGATAGGAACAAATATAATCTTTCCCAAGAAAAAAGAAATGATCTGAAATAAAGAAATGTATCTGAGAAATTCATGAACAGTCGGCAATATACCATCTTTTCCCAAGAAGGCAAAAGAAATGATAGGAAATAAAGAAAATGTATCTGAGAAGATTCATGAACAGTCGGCAATATACCATCTTTCCCAAGAAGGCAAAAAGAAATGATAAGGAAATAAAGAAAATGTATCTGAGGCATGAAAAAGAAAGATCCCAAGAAGGCAAAGAAATGATAGGAAATAAAGAAAATGAAGAAGTTCATGAAAGTCGGCAATATACCATCTTTCCCAAGAAGGCAAAAAGAAATGATAGGAAATAAAGAAAATGTATCTGAGAAGAGAAAGATTACCATCTTTCCCAAGAAGGCAAAAGAATGATAGGAAATAAAGAAAGTATCGGAACAATATATACATCTTTTTAAGAAGGCCCAAAGAAATGTATCTGAGAAAAGAAAATGACCATCTTTCCCAAGAAGGCAAAAGAGAAAATGATAGGAAATAAAGAAATGTATCTGAGAAGATTCATGAACAGTCGGCAATATACCATCTTTCCAAGAAGGCAAAAAGAAATGATAGGAAATAAAGAAAATGTATCTGAGAAGATTTATGAACAGTCGGCAATATACCATTTTCCCAAGAAGCAAAAAAAGAAATGATAGGAAATAAAGAAAATGTATCTGAGAAGATTCATGAACAGTCGGCAATATACCATCTTTCCCAAGAAGGCAAAAAGAAATGATAGGAAATAAAGAAAATGTATCTGAGAAGATTCATGAACAGTCGGCAATATACCATCTTCCCAAGAAGGCAAAAAGAAATGATAGGAAATAAAGAAAATGTATCTGAGAAGATTCATGAACAGTCGGCAATATACCATCTTTCCCAAGAAGGCAAAAGAAATGATAGGAAATAAAGAAAAAAAAGTCGGCAATATACCATCTTCCCAAGAAGGCAAAAGAAATGATAGGAAATGTATCTGAGAGGAACAGTCGGCAATATACCATCTTTCCCAAGAAGGCAAAAGAAATGATAGGAAATAAAGAAAATGTATCTGAGAAGATTCATGAACAGTCGGCAATATACCATCTTTCCCAAGAAGGCAAAAAGAAATGATAGGAAATAAAGAAAAATGTATCTGAGAAGATTCATGAACAGTCGGCAATATACCATCTTTCCCAAGAAGGCAAAAAAAATGATAGGAAATAAAGAAAATGTATCTGAGAAGATTCATGAACAGTCGGCAATATACCATCTTTCCCAAGAAGGCAAAAAAGAAATGATAGGAAATAAAGAAAATGTATCTGAGAAGATTCATGAACAGTCGGCAATATACCATCTTTCCCAAGAAGGCAAAAAGAAATGATAGGAAATAAAGTAAATGTATCTGAGAAGATTCATGAACAGTCGGCAATATACCATCTTTCCCAAGAAGGCAAAAAAAATGATAGGAAATAAAGAAAATGTATCTGAGAAGATTCATGAACAGTCGGCAATATACCATCTTTCCCAAGAAGGCAAAAAAGAAATGATAGGAAATAAAAGAAAATGTATCTGAGAAGATTCATGAACAGTCGGCAATATACCATCTTTCCCAAGAAAAAAGAAAAAAGAAATGATAGGAAATAAAGAAAATGTATCTGAGAAGATTCATGAAAAAAAGTCGGCAATATACCATCTTTCCCAAGAAGGCAAAAAAGAAATGATAGGAAATAAAGAAAATGTATCTGAGAAGATTCATGAACAGTCGGCAATATACCATCTTTTCAAGAAGGCAAAAGAAGGCAAAAAAAATGATAGGAAATGAAAAGAAAATGTATCTGAGCAAAAGATTCATAAAGAAAAATAGATTCATGAACAATATATATCATTTTCCCAAGAAGGCAAAAGAAATGATAGAAATAAAGAAAATGAATCTGAGAAAGAACAGTCGGCAAAATACCATCTTTTCTGAAGCAAAAGAAATTAGGAAATAAAGAAACAGTATCTGAGAAGATATCGGCAATATACCATCTTTTCCCAAGAAGGCAAAAGAAATGATAGGAAATAAAGAAAATGTATCTGAGAAGATTCATGAACAGTCGGCAATATACCATCTTTCCCAAGAAGGCAAAAGAAATGATAGGAAATAAAGAAAATGTATCTGAGAAGATTCATGAACAGTCGGCAATATACCATCTTTCCCAAGAAGGCAAAAAAGAAATGATAGGAAATAAAGAAAATGTATCTGAGAAGATTCATGAACAGTCGGCAATATACCATCTTTCCCAAGAAGGCAAAAGAAATGATAGGAAATGAAAGAAAATGTATCTTTCCCAAGAGAAGATTGATAGGAAATAAAGAACAGTCGGCAATATACCATCATTTTCCCAAGAAGGCAAAAGAAATGATAGGAAATAAAAGAAAATGTATCTGAGAAGATTCATGAACAGTCGGCAATATACCATCTTTCCCAAGAAGGCAAAAAGAAATGATAGGAAATAAAGAAAATGTATCTGAGAAGATTCATGAACAGTCGGCAATATACCATCTTTCCCAAGAAGGCAAAAGAAATGATAGGAAATAAAGAAAATGTATCTGAGAAGATTCATGAACAGTCGGCAATATACCATCTTTCCCAAGAAGGCAAAAGAAATGAAGGAAATAAAGATGAGAAGATTCATGAACAGTCGGAAAATACCATCTTTTCCCAAGAAGGCAAAAGAAAGATAGGAAATAAAGAAAATGTATCTGAGAAGATGAATACGGCAATATACCATCTTTTCCCAAGAAGGCAAAAAAGAAATGATAGGAAATAAAGAAAATGTATCTGAGAAGAGAAAGCAATATACCATCTTTCCCAAGAAGGCAAAAAGAAATGAAGGAAATAAAAGAAAATGTATCTGAGAAGATTCATGAACAGTCGGCAATATACCATCTTTCCAAGAAGGCAAAAAGAAGGATAGGAAAAAAGAAATGATAGGAAATATGAAAAGAAAATGTATCTTTGCAAAAGAATGATTCATGAACAGTCGGCAATATACCATCTTTCCCAAGAAGGCAAAAGAAATGATAGGAAATAAAGAAAATGTATCTGAGAAGATTCATGAACAGTCGGCAATATACCATCTTTCCCAAGAAGGCAAAAGAAATGATAGGAAATAAAGAAAATGTATCTGAGAAGATTCATGAACAGTCGGATAATATACCATCTTTCCCAAGAAGGCAAAAAAGAAATGATAGGAAATAAAGAAAATGTATCTGAGAAGATTCATGAACAGTCGGCAATATACCATCTTTCCCAAGAAGGCAAAAAAGAAATGATAGGAAATAAAGAAAATGTATCTGAGAAGATTCATGAACAGTCGGCAATATACCATCTTTTCCCAAGAAGGCAAAAAGAAATGATAGGGAAATAAAGAAAATGTATCTGAGAAGATTCATGAACAGTCGGCAATATACCATCTTTCCCAAGAAGGCAAAAAAGAAATGATAGGAAATAAAGAAAATGTATCTGAGAAGATTCATGAACAGTCGGCAATATACCATCTTTCCCAAGAAGGCAAAAGAAATGATAGGAAATAAAGAAAATGTATCTGAGAAGATTCATGAACAGTCGGCAATATACCATCTTTCCCAAGAAGGCAAAAGAAATGATAGGAAAGAAAGAAAATGTATCTGAGAAGATTCATGAACAGCCGGCAATATACCATCTTTCTTAAGAAGGCAAAAGAAATGATAGGAAATAAAGAAAATGTATCTGAGATGATTCATGAACAGTCGGCAATATACCATCTTTCCAAGAAGGCAAAAGAAATGAAGGAAATAAAGAAAAGAAATGATATGAAAATCGGCAATAAATGTTTCCCAAGAAGCAAAAGAAATTAGGAAATAAAGAAAATGTGAGAAGATTCATGAATATACAATATACCATCTTCCCAAGAAGCAAAAAAAAATGATAGGAAAAAAAAAAATGATGAGGAATGAAAGAAAATGTATCTTTCCCAAGAAGGCAAAAAAGAAATGATAGGAAATAAAGAGAAGATTCATGAACAGTCGGCAATATACCATTTTCCCAAGAAGGCAAAAAGAAATGATAGGAAATAAAGAAAATGTATCTGAGAAGATTCATGAACAGTCGGCAATATACCATCTTTTCCCAAGAAGGCAAAAAGAAATGATAGGAAATAAAGAAAATGTATCTGAGAAGAGATTCATGAACAGTTTGGCAATATACCATCTTTCCCAAGAAGCAAAAAAAAAATGATAGAGAAATGAAAAGAAATACCATCTTTTCCCAAGAAGGCAAAAAAATGATAGGAAATAAAGAAAAAATGTATCGGCAATACAATATACCATCTTTCCCAAGAAGGCAAAAGAAATGATAGGAAATAAAGAAAATGTATCTGAGGAGAGTCAAGAACAGTCGGCAATATACCATCTTTCCCAAGAAGGCAAAAGAAATGATAGGAAAAAAAAGAAAATGTATCTGAGAGGATTTATGAACAGTCGGCAATATACCATCTTTCCCAAGAAGGCAAAAGAAATGATAGGTAATAAAGAAAATGTATCTGAGAAGATTTATGAACAGTCGGCAATATACCATCTTTTCCAAGAAGGCAAAAGAAATGATAGGAAAAAAGAAAAATGATATGAACAGTCGGTAATAACCATCTTTCCCAAGAAGGCAAAAAGAAATGATAGGAAATAAAGAAAATGTATCTGAGATGAATGAACAGTCGGCAATATACCATCTTTCCCAAGAAGGCAAAAGAAATGATAGGAAAAAAGAAATGATAGAGAAGAAAATAAAAGAAAATGTATCTGGAAAATACCATCTTTCCCAAGAAGGCAAAAGAAATGATAGGAAATAAAGAAAATGTATCTGAGATGATTCATGAACAGTCGGCAATATACCATCTTTTCCCAAGAAGGCAAAAAGAAATGATAGGAAATAAAGAAAATGTATCTGAGAAGATTCATGAACAGTCGGCAATATACCATCTTTCCCAAGAAGGCAAAAGAAATGATAGGAAATAAAGAAAAATGTATCTGAGAAGATTCATGAACAGTCGGCAATATACCATCTTTCCCAAGAAGGCAAAAAGAAATGATAGGAAATAAAGAAAATGTATCTGAGAAGATTCATGAACAGTCGGCAATATACCATCTTTCCTAAGAAGGCAAAAAGAAATGATAGGAAATAAAGAAAATGTATCTGAGAAGATTCATGAACAGTCGGCAATATACCATCTTTCCCAAGAAGGCAAAAGAAATGATAGGAAATAAAGAAAATGAGATGATTCAGTCTATAATATACCATCTTTCCAAGAAGGCAAAAGAAATGATAGGAAATAAAGAAAATGATCTGAGAAGATTCGAACAGTCGGCAATATACCATCTTTCCCAAGAAGGCAAAAGAAATGATAGGAAATAAAGAAAATGTATCTGAGAAGATTCATGAACAGTCGGCAATATACCATCTTTTCCCAAGAAGGCAAAAAGAAATGATAGGAAATAAAGAAAATGTATCTGAGAAGATTCATGAACAGTCGGCAATATACCATCTTTCCAAGAAGGCAAAAAGAAATGATAGAAAAAAGAAAATGATCTGAGAAGATTCATGAAAGAAAATGTATCTTTTGAAAAGAAATGATAGGAAATAAAGAAAATGTATCTGGAAATGAATACCAATATACCATCTTTCCCAAGAAGGCAAAAGAAATGATAGGAAATAAAGAAAATGTATCTGAGAAGATTCATGAACAGTCGGCAATATACCATCATTTTTCCAAAAAGAAATGATAGGAAAAAAAGAAATGATGAGATGAAATGAAAGTCGGCAAATACCATCTTTCCCAAGAAGCAAAAAGAAATGATAGGAAATATGAAAGAAAATGTATCTGAGATGATTTAAAGAAAATGAATGAACATATAATATACCATCTTTCCCAAGAAGGCAAAAAGAAATGATAGGAAATAAAGAAAATGTATCTGAGAAGATTCATGAACAGTCGGCAATATACCATCTTTCCCAAGAAGAAATGGCAAAAAGAAAATGATAGAAGGAAATAAAGAAGGCAAAAAAATGATATCTGAGATGATTGAGATGAACAGTCGGCAATATACCATCTTTCCCAAGAAGGCAAAAGAAATGATAGGAAATAAAGAAAATGTATCTGAGAAGATTCATGAACAGTCGGCAATATACCATCTTTCCCAAGAAGGCAAAAGAAATGATAGGAAATAAAGAAAATGTATCTGAGAAGATTCATGAACAGTCGGCAATATACCATCTTTCCCAAGAAGCAAAAGAAAAAGAAATGATAGGAAATACCATCTTTCCCAAAAGAAAATGTATCTGAGAAGATTCATGAACAGTCGGCAATATACCATCTTTTCCCAAGAAGGCAAAAAGAAATGATAGGAAATAAAGAAGGCAAAAAAATGTATCTGAGAAGATTCATGAACAGTCGGCAATATACCATCTTTCCCAAGAAGGCAAAAGAAATGATAGGAAATAAAGAAAATGTATCTGAGAAGAATTCAAAAGAAATGATAGGAAATAAAGAAAATATACCATCTTTCCCAAGAATCTTTCCAAGAAAAAAGAAATGATAGGAAATAAAGAAAATGTATCTGAGAAGATTCATGAACAGTCGGCAATATACCATCTTTCCCAAGAAGGCAAAAAAAAGAAATGATAGGAAAGAAAAAAGAATGTATCTGAAATGAATGAACAGTCGGCAATATACCATCTTTTCCCAAGAGCAAAAGAAATGATAGGAAATAAAGAAAATGTATGAGAAGATTCATGAACAGTCGGCAATATACCATCTTTCCCAAGAAGGCAAAAGAAATGATAGGAAATAAAGAAAATGTATCTGAGAAGATTCATGAACAGTCGGCAATATACCATCTTTCCCAAGAAGGCAAAAAGAAATGATAGGAAATAAAGATAATGTATCTGAGAAGATTCATGAACAGTCGGCAATATACCATCTTTCCCAAGAAGGCAAAAGAAATGATAGGTAATAAAGAAAATGTATCTGAGAAGATTCATGAACAGTCGGCAATATACCATCTTTCCCAAGAAGGCAAAAAAAAGAAATGATAGGAAAAAGAAAAAATGTATCTGAGAAGATTATGAACAGTCGGCAATATACCATCTTTCCCAAGAAGGCAAAAGAAATGATAGGAAATAAAGAAAATGTATCTGAGAAGATTCATGAACAGTCGGCAATATACCATCTTTTCCCAAAAGAAATGAAGAAGGCAAAAGAAAATGATAGGAAAATAAAGAAAATGTATCTGAAGAAAAGAAATGAACAGTTTATTGAGGATATGAATATACCATCTTTCCCAAGAAGGCAAAAGAAATGATAGGTAATAAAGAAAATGTATCTGAGGAGTGTCATGAACAGTCGGCAATATACCATCTTTCCCAAGAAGGCAAAAGAAATGATAGGTAATAAAGAAAATGTATCTGAGGAGAGTCATGAACAGTCGGCAATATACCATCTTTCCCAAGAAGGCAAAAAAGAAAAATGATAAAGAAAAATGAAAGAAAATGTATCATCTTTGAGAAAGAATTAAAGAAAATGAAGAGTCGGCAATATACCATCTTTCCCCAAAAAGAAATGATAGGAAATAAAAGAAAATGTAAATTGAACAGTCGGAAATCTTTTCCCAAGAAGGCAAAAAAAATGATAGGAAATAAAGAAAGATCTGAGATTCATGAACAGTCGGCAATATACCATCTTTCCCAAGAAGGCAAAAAGAAATGATAGGAAATAAAGAAAAATGTATCTGAGAAGATTCATGAACAGTCGGCAATATACCATCTTTCCCAAGAAGGCAAAAGAAATGATAGGAAATAAAGAAAATGTATCTGAGAAGATTCATGAACAGTCGGCAATATACCATCTTTCCCAAGAAGGCAAAAAGAAATGATAGAAATAAAGAAAATGTATCTGAGAAATCATGAAAGTCGGCAAAATACGAAGGCAAAAAAGAAATACCATCTTTTCCCAAGAAGGCAAAAGAAAAAGAAATGATAGGAAATAAAGAAAATGTATCTTGAAGGAAATGATAGGAAATAAAGAAAAACTGAGAGATTCATGAACAATATACCATCTTTCCCAAGAAGGCAAAAAGAAATGATAGGAAATAAAGAAAATGTATCTGAGAAGATTCATGAACAGTCGGCAATATACCATCTTCCCAAGAAGGCAAAAAAAAGAAGGCAAAAGAAAATGATAGGAAATCTTTTCCCAAAAGCAAAAAATGTAGGAAATAAAGAAGATTCATGAAAGATTCGGCAATATACCATCTTTCCCAAGAAGGCAAAAGAAATGATAGGAAATAAAGAAAATGTATCTGAGAAGATTCATGAACAGTCGGCAATATACCATCTTTCCCAAGAAGGCAAAAGAAATGATAGGAAATAAAGAAAATGTATCTGAGAAGATTTGTGAACAGTCGGCAATATACCATCTTTCCCAAGAAGGCAAAAGAAATGATAGGAAATAAAGAAAATGTATCTGAGAAGATTCATGAACAGTCGGCAATATACCATCTTTCCCAAGAAGGCAAAAGAAATGATAGGAAATAAAGAAAATGTATCTGAGATGATTCATGAACAGTCGGCAATATACCATCTTTCCCAAGAAGGCAAAAGAAATGATAGGAAATAAAGAAAATGTATCTGAGAAGATTCATGAACAGTCGGCAATATACCATCTTTCCCAAGAAGGCAAAAGAAATGATAGGAAATAAAGAAAATGTATCTGAGAAGATTCATGAACAGTCGGCAATATACCATCTTTCCCAAGAAGGCAAAAAGAAATGATAGGAAATAAAGAAAATGTATCTGAGAAGATTCATGAACAGTCGGCAATATACCATCTTTTCCCAAGAAGGCAAAAGAAATGATAGGAAATAAAGAAAATGTATCTGAGAAGATTCATGAACAGTCGGCAATATACCATCTTTCCCAAGAAGGCAAAAGAAATGATAGGAAATAAAGAAAATGTATCTGAGATGATTCATGAACAGTCGGCAATATACCATTTTCCTAAGAAGGCAAAAGAAATGATAGGAATAAAGAAAATGTATCTGAGAAGATTCATGAACAGTCGGCAATATACCATCTTTCGGCAATATACCAAGAAGGCAAAAAAGAAATGATAGGAAATAAAGAAAATGTATCTGAGAAGATTCATGAACAGTCGGCAATATACCATCTTTCCCAAGAAGGCAAAAAGAAATGATAGGAAATAAAGAAAATGTATCTGAGAAGATTCATGAACAGTCGGCAATATACCATCTTTCCCAAGAAGGCAAAAGAAATGATAGGAAATAAAGAAAATGTATCTGAGAAGATTCATGAACAGTCGGCAATATACCATCTTTCCCAAGAAGGCAAAAGAAATGATAGGAAATAAAGAAAATATATCTGAGAAGATTTGTGAACAGTCGGCAATATACCATCTTTCCTAAGAAGGCAAAAGAAATGATAGGAAATAAAGAAAATGTATCTGAGAAGATTCATGAACAGTCGGCAATATACCATCTTTCCCAAGAAGGCAAAAGAAATGATAGGAAATAAAGAAAATGTATCTGAAAGATTTATGAAATGGTAATATCTTTGCAAAAAGAAATGATAGGAAATAAAGAAAATGTATCTGAGAAGATTCATGAACACAATATACCATCTTTCCCAAGAAGGCAAAAGAAAAAGAAATGATAGGAAAATAAAGAAAATGAAATGATAGGAAATAAAGATTCATGAACAGATTCATGGCAATATACCATCTTTCCCAAGAAGGCAAAAAGAAATGATAGGAAAAAGAAAATGTATCTGAGAAGATTCATGAACAGTCGGTAATATACCATCTTTTCCCAAGAAGGCAAAAAGAAATGATAGGAAATAAAGAAAATGTATCTGAGAAGATTCATGAACAGTCGGCAATATACCATCTTTCCCAAGAAGGCAAAAAGAAATGATAGGAAATAAAAGAAAATGTATCTGAGAAGATTCATGAACAGTCGGCAATATACCATCTTTCCCAAGAAGGCAAAAGAAATGATAGGAAATAAAGAAAATGTATCTGAGAAGATTCCCAATGAAATGATAGGAAATAAAGAAAGTCGGCAATATACCATCATTTCCCAAGAAGGCAAAAAGAAATGATAGGAAATAAAGAAAATGTATCTGAGAAGATTCATGAACAGTCGGCAATATACCATCTTTTCCCAAGAAGGCAAAAGAAATGATAGGAAATAAAGAAAATGTATCTGAGAAGATTCATGAACAGTCGGCAATATACCATCTTTCCCAAGAAGGCAAAAGAAATGATAGGAAAATAAAGAAAATGTATCTGAGAGAAAATATATCTGAGATGAAATGATTCATGAACAGTCGGCAATATACCATCTTTCCCAAGAAGGCAAAAAGAAATGATAGGAAATAAAGAAAATGTATCTGAGAAGATTCATGAACAGTCGGCAAAGATTTTCCTAAGAAGGCAAAAGAAATGATAGGAAATAAAGAAAATGTATCTGAGAAGATTCATGAATAGTCGGTAATATACCATCTTTCCCAAGAAGGCAAAAAGAAATGATAGGAAATAAAGAAAATGTATCTGAGAAGATTCATGAACAGTCGGCAATATACCATCTTTCCCAAGAAGGCAAAAAGAAATGATAGGAAATAAAGAAAATGTATCTGAGAAGATTAAGAAAAAAGAAATGAACAGTCGGCAATATACCATCTTTCCCAAGAAGGCAAAAAAGAAATGATAGGAAATAAAGAAAATGTATCTGAGAAGATTCATGAACAGTCGTCGGCAATATACCATCTTTCCCAAGAAGGCAAAAGAAATGATAGGAAATGAAAGAAAATGAAAAGATGAAATGTATCAAGAAGCAAAAGAAATGATTAAAAGAAATGAATCTGAGAAGATTCATGAACAGTTTATAATATACCATCTTTCCCAAGAAGGCAAAAAGAAATGATAGGAAATAAAGAAAATGTATCTGAGAAGATTCATGAACAGTCGGCAATATACCATCTTTTTCCCAAGAAGGCAAAAGAAATGATAGGGAAAATGTAAGAAAGAAAAATGCAATATATCTTTTCCCAAGAAGGCAAAAAAGAAATGATAGGAAATAAAGAAAATGAACAGTTCATGAACAGTCAATATACCATCTTTCCCAAGAAGGCAAAAAGAAATGATAGGAAATAAAGAAAATGAATCTGAGAAGATTCATGAACAGTCGGCAATATACCATCTTTCCCAAGAAGGCAAAAGAAATGATAGGAAATAAAGAAAATGTATCTGAGAAGATTCATGAACAGTCGGCAATATACCATCTTTTCCCAAGAAGAAAAAAAAGAAATGATAGGAAATAAAGAAAATGTATCTGAGAAGATTTCATGAACAGTCGGCAATATACCATTTTTTCCCAAGAAGGCAAAAAGAAATGATAGGAAATAAAGAAAATGTATCTGAGAAGATTCATGAACAGTCGGCAATATACCATCTTTCCCAAGAAGGCAAAAGAAATGATAGGAAATAAAGAAAATGTATCTGAGAAGATTCATGAACAGTCGGCAATATACCATCTTTCCCAAGAAGGCAAAAAAAAAGAAATGATAGGAAATAAAGAAAATGTATCTGAGAAGATTCATGAACAGTCGGCAATATACCATCTTTTCCCAAGAAGGCAAAAGAAATGATAGGAAATAAAGAAATGTATCTGAGAAGATTCATGAACAGTCGGCAATATACCATCTTTCCCAAGAAGAAATAAAGAAAAAAGAAATGATAGGAATCTTTCCCAAGAAGGCAAAAGAAAATGTATCTGAGAAGATTCATGAACAGTCGGCAATATACCATCTTTTCCCAAGAAGGCAAAAGAAATGATAGGAAATAAAGAAAATGTATCTGAGAAGATTCATGAACAGTCGGCAATATACCATCTTTTCCCAAGAAGGCAAAAAAGAAATGATAGGAAATAAAGAAAATGTATCTGAGAAGATTACATGAAAGAAAGTCGGCAATATACCATCTTTCCCAAGAAGGCAAAAGAAATGATAGGAAATAAAGAAAATGTATCTGAGAAGATTCATGAACAGTCGGCAATATACCATCTTTTCCCAAGAAGGCAAAAAGAAATGAAATAAATAGGAAATAAAGGCAAAAGAAAATGTATCTGAGAAGAAAATTCTGAGAATGAACAGTCGGCAATATACCATCTTTCCCAAGAAGGCAAAAGAAATGATAGGAAATAAAGAAAATGTATCTGAGAAGATTCATGAACAGTCGGCAATATACCATCTTTCCCAAGAAGGCAAAAGAAGGCAAAAGAAATGATAGGAAATAAAGAAAATGTATCTGAGAAGATTTATGAACAGTCGGCAATATACCATCTTTCCCAAGAAGGCAAAAAGAAATGATAAATAAAGAAAATATCTGAGAAGAATGAAAGTCGGCAATATACCATCTTTTCCCAAGAAGGCAAAAAGAAATGATAGGAAATAAAGAATCTGAGAAGAGTCAATATAATATTTCGGCAATATACCATGTTTCCCAAGAAGGCAAAAAGAAATGATAGGAAATAAAGAAAATGTATCTGAGAAGATTCATGAACAGTCGGCAATATACCATCTTTCCCAAGAAGGCAAAAGAAATGATAGGAAATAAAGAAATGTATCTGAGAAGATTCATGAACAGTCGGCAATATACCATCTTTCCCAAGAAGGCAAAAAAGAAATGATAGGAAATAAAGAAAATGTATCTGAGAAGATTCATGAACAGTCGGCAATATACCATCTTTCCCAAGAAGGCAAAAGAAATGATAGGAAATAAAGAAAATGTATCTGAGAAGAAATGCAATATACCATCTTTCCCAAGAAGGCAAAAGAAATGATAGGGAAATAAAGAAAATGTATCTGAGAAGATTCATGAACAGTCGGCAATATACCATCTTTCCAAGAAGGCAAAAGAAATGATAGGAAAAAAGAAATGATGAGGAAATGAAAGAAAATACCATCCCAAGAAGGCAAAAAAGAAATGATAGGAAATAAAGAAAATGTATCTGAGAAGATTTATGAACAGTCGGCAATATACCATCTTTTTGATAGGAAGAAAGAAATGTATCTGAGAAATGAAATGATATACCATCTTTCCCAAGAAGGCAAAAAAATGATATCTAAAGAAAATGTATTGAGAAGATTCATGAACAGTCGGCAATATACCATCTTTCCCAAGAAGGCAAAAAAGAAATGATAGGAAATAAAGAAAATGTATCTGAGAAGATTCATGAACAGTCGGCAATATACCATCTTTCCCAAGAAGGCAAAAGAAATGATAGGAAATAAAGAAAATGTATCTGAGAAGATTCATGAACAGTCGGCAATATACCATCTTTCCCAAGAAGGCAAAAAAAAGAAATGATAGGAAATAAAGAAAATGTATCTGAGAAGATTCATGAACAGTCGGCAATATACCATCTTTCCCAAGAAGGCAAAAAGAAATGATAGGATAAAAAATAAAGAAACAGTCGGCAATATACCATCTTTTTCCTAAGAAGGCAAAAAAGAAATGATTAAAGAAATGTGAGAAGATTCATGAAAGTCGGCAATATACCATCTTTTCCTAAGAAGGCAAAAAAGAAATGATAGGAAATAAAGAAAATGTATCTGAGAAGATTCATGAACAGTCGGCAATATACCATCTTTCCCAAAGAAGGCAAAAGAAATGATAGGAAATAAAGAAAAAATGTATCTGAGAAGATTCATGAACAGTCGGCAATATACCATCTTTCCCAAGAAGGCAAAAAAGAAATGATAGGAAATAAAGAAAATGTATCTGAGAAGATTCATGAACAGTCGGCAATATACCATCTTTTTCCCAAAAGAAGAAAAAAGAAAAAATGATAGGAATATACCATCTTTCCCAAAAGGCAAAAAAAATGTATCTGAGAAGATTCATGAACAGTCGGCAATATACCATCTTTCCCAAGAAGGCAAAAAAGAAATGATATCTGAGAAGAAATGAAAGAAAAACCATCTTTTCAAGAAGGCAAAAAGAAGATTCATGAAAACAGTCTGAGAAATATGAACCATCAATTTCATTTTTCCAAGAAGGCAAAAGAAATGATAGGAAATAAAGAAAATGTATCTGAGAAGATTCATGAACAGTCGGCAATATACCATCTTTTCCCAAGAAGGCAAAAAGAAATGATAGGAAATAAAGAAAATGTATCTGAGAAGATTCATGAACAGAAATATACCATCTTTCCCAAGAAGGCAAAAAGAAATGATAGGAAAAAGAAAATGTATCTGAGAAGATTCATGAACAGTCGGCAATATACCATCTTTCCCAAGAAGGCAAAAGAAATGATAGGAAAGAAAAAAGAAAATGTATCTGAGATGATTCATGAACAGTCGGAATAATATACCATCTTTCCCAAGAAGGCAAAAGAAATGATAGGAAATAAAGAAAATGTATCTGAGAAGATTCATGAACAGTCGGCAATATACCATCTTTCCCAAGAAGGCAAAAGAAATGATAGGAAATAAAGAAAATGTATCTGAGAAGATTCATGAACAGTCGGCAATATACCATCTTTCCCAAGAAGCAAAAAGAAATGGCAAAATGTATCTGAGAAGATGATGAACAGTCGGAAATCTTTCCCAAGAAGGCAAAAGAAATGATAGGAAATAAAGAAAATGTAGAAGATTTATGAACAGTCGGCAATATACCATTTTCCCAAGAAGGCAAAAAAGAAATGATAGGAAATAAAGAAAATGTATCTGAGAAGATTCATGAACAGTCGGCAATATACCATCTTTCCCAAGAAGGCAAAAGAAATGATAGGAAATAAAGAAAATGTATCTGAGAAGATTCATGAACAGTCGGCAATATACCATCTTTCCCAAGAAGGCAAAAGAAATGATAGGAAATAAAGATAATGTATCTGAGATGATTCATGAACAGGCGGCAATATACCATCTTTTTCAAGAAGGCAAAAGAAATGATAGGAAATAAAGAAAATGTATCTGAGAAGATTCATGAACAGTCGGTAATATACCATCTTTCCCAAGAAGGCAAAAGAAATGATAGGAAATAAAGAAAATGTATCTGAGAAGATTCATGAACAGTCGGCAATATACCATCTTTCCCAAGAAGGCAAAAGAAATGATAGGAAATAAAGAAAATGTATCTGAGATGATTCATGAACAGTCGGCAATATACCATCTTTCCCAAGAAGGCAAAAAAAAATGGAAATAAGAAAATAAAGAAAATGTATCTGAGAAGATAGGGAAATAAAGAAAACAGTCGGCAATATACCATCTTTCCCAAGAAGGCAAAAGAAATGATAGGAAATAAAGAAAATGTATCTGAGAAGATTCATGAACAGTCGGCAATATACCATCTTTTCCAAGAAGGCAAAAAAGAAATGATAGGAAATAAAAGAAAATGTATCTGAGAAGATTCATGAACAGTCGGCAATATACCATCTTTCCCAAGAAGGCAAAAAGAAATGATAGGAAATAAAGAAAATGTATCTGAGAAGATTCATGAACAGTCGGCAATATACCATCTTTCCCAAGAAGGCAAAAGAAATGATAGGAAATAAAGAAAATATATCTGAGAAGATTCATGAACAGTCGGCAATATACCATCTTTCCCAAGAAGGCAAAAGAAATGATAGGAAATAAAGAAAATAAAGAAAATGTATCTTTTGCAAAAAAGAAGATAGGAAATGAAATGTATCTGAGCAATATACCATCTTTTCCCAAGAAGGCAAAAGAAATGATAGGAAATAAAGAAAATGTATCTGAGAAGATTCATGAACAGTCGGCAATATACCATCTTTTCCCAAGAAGGCAAAAAGAAATGATAGGAAATAAAGAAAATGTATCTGAGAAGATTCATGAACAGTCTATAATATACCATCTTTCCCAAGAAGGCAAAAAAAGAAATGATAGGAAATAAAGAAAATGTATCTGAGAAGATTCATGAACAGTCGGCAATATACCATCTTTCCCAAGAAGGCAAAAGAAATGATAGGAAATAAAGAAAATGTATCTGAGAAGATTCATGAACAGTCGGCAATATACCATCTTTCCCAAGAAGGCAAAAGAAATGATAGGGAAAATAAAGAAAATGTCTTTCTGAGAAGAAATGATGAACAGAAAAATGTATCTGGAAATGATAGTCGGCAATATACCATCTTTTCCCAAGAAGGCAAAAGAAATGATAGGAAATAAAGAAAATGTATCTGAGAAGATTCATGAACAGTCGGCAATATACCATCTTTTCCCAAGAAGGCAAAAAGAAATGATAGGAAATAAAGAAAATGTATCTGAGAAGATTCATGAACAGTCTGGCATATACCATCTTTCCCAAGAAGGCAAAAAGAAATGATAGGAAATAAAGAAAATGTATCTGAGAAGATTCATGAACAGTCGGCAATATACCATCTTTCCCAAGAAGGCAAAAAGAAATGATAGGGAAATAAAGAAAAATGAGATGATTCATGAAGAGTCGGCATTATACCATCTTCCCAAGAAGGCAAAAGAAAAGAAAATGTATCTGAGAAGATTTATGAACAGTCGGCAATATACCATCTTTCCCAAGAAGGCAAAAAAGAAATGATAGGAAATAAAGAAATGTATCTGAGAAGATTCATGAACAGTCGGCAATATACCATCTTTTCCCAAGAAGGCAAAAGAAATGATAGGAAATAAAGAAAATGTATCTGAGAAGATTCATGAACAGTCGGCAATATACCATCTTTCCCAAGAAGGCAAAAGAAATGATAGGAAATAAAGAAATGTATCTGAGAAGATTCATGAACAGTCGGCAATATACCATCTTTCCCAAGAAGGCAAAAGAAATGATAGGAAAAAGAAAATGTATCTGAGAAGATTCATGAACAGTCGGCAATATACCATCTTTCCTAAGAAGGCAAAAAGAAATGATAGGAAATAAAGAAAATGTATCTGAGAAGATTCATGAACAGTCAATATACCATCTTTCCCAAGAAGGCAAAAAGAAATGATAGGAAATAAAGAAAATGTATCTGAGAAGATTCATGAACAGTCGGTAATATACCATCTTTCCCAAGAAGCAAAAAAAAGAAATGATAGGAAATAAAGAAAATGTATCTGAGAAGATTCATGAACAGTCGGCAATATACCATCTTTCCCAAGAAGGCAAAAGAAATGATAGGAAATAAAGAAAATGTATCTGAGAAGATTCATGAACAGTCGGCAATATACCATCTTTCCCAAGAAGGCAAAAAAGAAATGATAGGAAATAAAGAAAATGTATCTGAGAAGATTCATGAACATAGTCGGCATAATACCATCTTTTCCCAAGAAGGCAAAAGAAATGATAGGAAATAAAAAAAATGTATCATCTTTTCCCAAGAAGGCAAAAAGAATGATAGGAAATAAAGAAATGTATTGAGAAGATTCATGAACAATATACCATCTTTCCCAAGAAGGCAAAAGAAATGATAGGAAATAAAGAAAATGTATCTGAGATGATTCATGAACAGTCGGCAATATACCATCTTTCCCAAGAAGGCAAAAGAAATAATAGGAAATAAAGAAAATGTATCTGAGATGATTCATGAACAGTCGGCAATATACCATCTTTACCAAGAAGGCAAAAGAAATGATAGGAAATAAAGAAAATGTATCTGAGAAGATTCATGAACAGTCGGCAATATACCATCTTTCCCAAGAAGGCAAAAGAAATGATAGGTAATAAAGAAAATGTATCTGAGAAGATTCATGAACAGTCGGCAATATACCATCTTTCCCAAGAAGGCAAAAGAAATGATAGGAAATAAAGAAAATGTATCTGAGAAGATTTATGAACAGTCGGCAATATACCATCTTTCCCAAGAAGGCAAAAGAAATGATAGGAAATAAAGAAAATGTATCTGAGAAGATTCATGAACAGTCGGCAATATACCATCTTTCCCAAGAAGGCAAAAGAAATGATAGGAAATAAAGAAAATGTATCTGAGAAGATTCATGAACAGTCGGCAATATACCATCTTTCCCAAGAAGGCAAAAAAAAAGAAATGATAGGAAATAAAGAAAATGTATCTGAGAAATGAACAGTCGGCAATATAATCTTTTTCCCAAGAAGGCAAAAAGAAATGATAGGAAATAAAGAAAATGTATCTGAGAAGAACATGTCGGCAATATACCATCTTTCCTAAGAAGGCAAAAGAAATGATAGGAAATAAAGAAAATGTATCTGAGAAGATTCATGAACAGTCGGCAATATACCATCTTTTCCCAAGAAGGCAAAAGAAATGATAGGAAATAAAGAAAAATGTATCTGAGAAGATTCATGAACAGTCGGCAATATACCATCTTTTCCCAAGAAGGCAAAAGAAATGATAGGAAATAAAGAAAATGTATCTGAGAAGATTCATGAGTCGGCAATATACCATCTTTCCCAAGAAGGCAAAAAAATATAGAAAATCTTTCCCAAGAAGGCAAAAAAGAAATGATAGGCAAAAGAAAATGAAATCGGCAAATACCAATTTTTTCCCAAAAAAATGTATCTGAGAAGATTCATGAACAGTCGGCAATATACCATCTTTCCCAAGAAGGCAAAAAGAAATGATAGGAAATAAAAGAAAATGTATCTGAGAAGATTCATGAACAGTCGGCAATATACCATCTTTCCCAAGAAGGCAAAAAAGAAATGATAGGAAATAAAGAAAAATGAATCTGAGAAGATTAAAGAAATGAACAGTCGGCAATATACCATCTTTCCCAAGAAGGCAAAAGAAATGATAGGAAATAAAGAAAATGTATCTGAGAAGATTCATGAACAGTCGGCAATATACCATCTTTCCCAAGAAGGCAAAAAAGAAATGATAGGAAATAAAGAAAATGTATCTGAGAAGATTCATGAACAGTCGGCAATATACCATCTTTCCCAAGAAGGCAAAAAAAAGAAATGATAGGAAATAAAGAAAATGTATCTGAGAAGATTCATGAACAGTCGGCAATATACCATCTTTCCCAAGAAGGCAAAAGAAATGATAGGAAATAAAGAAAATGTATCTGAGAAGATTCATGAACAGTCGGCAATATACCATCTTTTCCCAAGAAGGCAAAAAGAAATGATAGAAAAAAAGAAAATGATCTGAGAAATGAAAAGAAAATACCATCTTTTGCAAAAGAAATGATTTAAAGAAAATGTATCTGAGAAGATTCATGAATAGTCGGCAATATACCATCTTTCCCCAAAAAGAAGGAAAAAAGAAATGATAGGAAATAAAGAAATGTATCTGAGAAGATAGGGAATAAAAGAAAATGTCTGGCAATATACCATCTTTTCCCAAGAAGGCAAAAAGAAATGATAGGAAATAAAGAAAATGTATCTGAGAAGATTCATGAACAGTCGGCAATATACCATCTTTCCCAAGAAGCAAAAAGAAATGATAGGAAATAAAGAAAATGTATCTGAGAAGATTCATGAACAGTCGGCAATATACCATCTTTCCCAAGAAGGCAAAAAAAAGAAATGATAGGAAATAAAGAAAATGTATCTGAGAAGATTCATGAACAGTCGGCAATATACCATCTTTCCTAAGAAGGCAAAAAGAAATGATAGGAAATAAAAAAAATGTATCTGAGAAGATTCATGAACAGTCGGCAATATACCATCTTTCCCAAGAAGGCAAAAGAAATGATAGGAAATAAAGAAAATGTATCTGAGAAGATTCATGAACAGTCGGCAATATACCATCTTTCCCAAGAAGGCAAAAGAAATGATAGGAAATAAAGAAAATGTATCTGAGAAGATTTATGAACAGTCGGCAATATACCATCTTTCCCAAGAAGGCAAAAGAAATGATAGGAAAAAAGAAATGATAGGAAATCTTTCCCAAGAAGCAAAAGAAAAAGAAATAAAGAAAATGTATCTGAGAAGATTCATGAACAGTCGGCAATATACCATCTTTTCCCAAGAAGGCAAAAGAAATGATAGGAAATAAAGAAAATGTATCTGAGAAGATTCATGAACAGTCGGCAATATACCATCTTTTCCCAAGAAGGCAAAAGAAATGATAGGAAATAAAGAAAATGTATCTGAGAAGATTCATGAACAGTCGGCAATATACCATCTTTCCCAAGAAGGCAAAAGAAATGATAGGAAATAAAGAAATGTATCTGAGAAGATTCATGAATGTCGGTAATATACCATCTTTCCCAAGAAGGCAAAAGAAATGATAGGGAAATAAAGAAAATGTATCTGAGAAGAATGAACAGTCGGCAATATACCATCTTTCCCAAGAAGGCAAAAGAAATGATAGGTAATAAAGAAAATGAATCTGAGAAGATTCATGAACAGTCGGCAATATACCATCTTTCCCAAGAAGGCAAAAGAAATGATAGGAAATAAAGAAAAATGAAAGATTTCCAAGAAGGCAAATGAAAATGTATCATTTTCCCAAGAAGGCAAAAGAATGAGATCTGAGAAGATGAACAGTCGGTAAATATACCATCTTTCCCAAGAAGGCAAAAGAAATGATAGGAAATAAAGAAAATGTATCTGAGAAGAGAAAGAATGAAAATGAACAGTCGTAGATAATATACCATCTTTTCCTAAGAAGGCAAAAAGAAATGATAGGAAAAAAAGAAAATGTATCTGAGAAGATTCATGAACAGTCGGCAATATACCATCTTTCCCAAGAAGGCAAAAAAGAAATGATAGGAAATAAAGAAAATGTATCTGAGAAGATTCATGAACAGTCGGCAATATACCATCTTTCCCAAGAAGGCAAAAAAAATGATAGGAAATAAAGAAAATGTATCTGAGAAGATTCATGAACAGTCAATAAATATACCATCTTTCCCAAGAAGGCAAAAGAAATGATAGGAAATAAAGAAATGTATCTGAGAAGATTCAATTGAACAGTTATAATATACCATCTTTCCCAAGAAGGCAAAAGAAATGATAGGAAATAAAGAAAATGTATCTGAGAAGATTCATGAACAGTCGGCAATATACCATCTTCCTTTCCTAAGAAGGCTGAGAAAAAGAAATGATAGGAAAGGCAAAAGAAATGATAGGAAATAAAGAAAATGTATCTGAGAAGATTCATGAACAGTCGGCAATATACCATCTTTTTCCCAAGAAGGCAAAAGAAATGATAGGAAATAAAAAGAAAATGTATCTGAGAAGATTTATGAACAGTCGGCAATATACCATCTTTCCCAAGAAGGCAAAAAAAAGAAATGATAGGAAATAAAGAAAATGTATCTGAGAAGATTCATGAACAGTCGGCAATATACCATCTTTCCCAAGAAGGCAAAAAAGAAATGATAGGAAATAAAGAAAATGTATCTGAGAAGATTCATGAACAGTCGGCAATATACCATCTTTCCCAAGAAGGCAAAAAGAAATGATAGGGAAATAAAGAAAATGTATCTGAGAAGATTCATGAACAGTCGGCAATATACCATCTTTCCCAAGAAGGCAAAAGAAATGATAGGAAATAAAGAAAATGTATCTGAGAAGATTCATGAACAGTCAGCAATATACCATCTTTCCCAAGAAGGCAAAAGAAAGATAGGAAATAAAGAAAAAAAGAAATGATAGGAAAGGCAAAAAGAAAATGATAAAAGAAAATTTTATCTGAGAAGATTTATGAACAGTCGGCAATATACCATCTTTCCCAAGAAGGCAAAAGAAATGATAGGAAATAAAAAGAAAATGTATCTGAGATGATTCATGAACAGTCGGCAATATACCATCTTTCCCAAGAAGGCAAAAAAAAAAAGAAATGATAGGAAAATAAAGCAATATAAATTTTTGAAGGCTGAGAAAGAAAATATCTGAGAAGATGAACAGTCGGCAATATACCATCTTTTTCCCAAGAAGGCAAAAAGAAATGATAGGAAATAAAGAAAATGTATCTGAGAAGATTCATGAACAGTCGGCAATATACCATCTTTTCCCAAGAAGGCAAAAGAAATGATAGGAAATAAAGAAAATGTATCTGAGAAGATTCATGAACAGTCGGCAATATACCATCTTTCCCAAGAAGGCAAAAAGAAATGATAGGAAATAAAGAAAATGTATCTGAGATGATTCATGAACAGAAATATACCATCTTTCCCAAGAAGGCAAAAGAAATGATAGGAAATAAAAAAATGTATCTGAGAAGATTCCAAAGAAGGAAAAAGAAATGAATAAAGAACAGTGTAAAGATTCGGCAATATACCATCTTTTCCCAAGAAGGCAAAAGAAATGAAAGGAAAGAAAAGAAAATGAATCTGGAGAGAAGATTGCCTATGAACAGAAGAGCAATATACCATCTTTGAAAAGAAGGCAAAAGAAATGATGGAAAAAATACTCTAAAATGTATCTGAGAAGATTTATGAACAGTCGGCAATATACCAATTCCCAAGAAGGCAAAACTGCCTAAATGATAAGAAATAAAGAAAATGTATCTGAGAAGATGGAGAACAGGAAAACAATATACCATCTTCCCAAGAAGGCAAAAAAATGAAAGGTAATAAGAAAAATGAATCTGAGAAGATTCATGAACAGTCGGCAATATACCATCTTTCCCAAGAAGGCAAAAGAAATGATAGGAAATAAAGAAAATGTATCTGAGATGATTGGAAAACAGTTGGCAATATACCATCTTTTCCCAAGAAGGCAAAAAAAAGAAAATAAAGAAATGTATCTGAGAAGAAAGATACCATCTTTCCAAGAAGGCAAAAAGAAATGATAGGAAATAAAGAAAATGGAGATCTGAGATGATTGCTATATCATGAACAGTCGGCAATATACCATCTTTCTTTCCAAGAAGGCAAAGAAAAAAGAAAGAAAGGAATCTGAGGAAAGAAAATGTATCTGAGAAGAAATGAATTGAAAAGTGTGAAGAGTCGGAAAATATACCATCTTTCCCAAGAAGGCAAAAGAAATGAAAGGAAATAAAGAAAATGTATCTGAGAAGATTCATGAACAGTCGGCAATATACCATCTTTCCCAAGAAGGCAAAAGAAATGATAGGAAATAAAGAAAAATGTATCTGAGAAGATTCAATGGAAAGTCGGCAATATACCATCTTTCCCAAGAAGGCAAAAGAAATGATAGGAAATAAAGAAAAGGAATCTGAGAAGATTCATGAACAGAAAGACTATGAATTGAAATCTTCCCAAGAAGGCAAAAGAAATGATAGGAAATAAAGAAAATGTATCTGAGAAGATTAGTGAACAGTCGGCAATATACCATCTTTCCCAAGAAGGCAAAAGAAATGATAGGAAATGAAAAGAAAATGTATCTGAGAAGATTCAAAGATAATGAAAAGTCGGCAATATACCATCTTTCCCAAGAAGGCAAAAAGAAATGATAGGAAATAAAGAAAAGTATCTGAGAAGATTTATGAACAGTCGGCAATATACCATCTTTCCCAAGAAGGCAAAAGAAATAGGAAAAAATAGGAAATAAAGCCAAAATGTATCTGAGATGATTGAAATTGAAAACAGTCGGCAATATACCATCTACTTTCCCAAGAAAGCAAAAAAAAATGATAGGAAATAAAAGAAAATGAATCTGAGGAGATTCATGAACAGTTGGCAATATACTGAAGAGAGAAAGAAGGCAAAAGAAATGATAGGAAAAAAAGAAAATGTATCTTTGAGAAGATTCATGATTCAAAGTCGGCAATATACCATCTTGGAGAAGAAGGCAAAAGAAATGATAGGAAATAAAGAAAATGAATTGAGAAGATTCATGAACAGTGGCAATATACCATCTTTCCCAAGAAGGCAAAAGAAAGATAGGAAATAAAGGAAATGGAGAGCCATGAAGCCTATATCATGAAAAGTGTGGAGAAGGATGAATACCATACTTTCCTCAAGAAGGCAAATGAAATGAAAGGAAATAAAGAAAAAAATGTATCTGAGAAGCCTATATCCTGAAGAGAGAAAGACTATGAACAGTGTGGAGAAGGCAATATACCATCTTTCCCAAGAAGGCAAAAGAAAAAGAAATAAAGAAAAGGGAAACATGAAATCTATAAAGAGAGAAATCTGAGAAAAGATGGAGAACAATGGAAAACCACATACCATCTTTCCCAAGAAGGCAAAAGAAATGATAGGAAATAAAGAAAATGTATCTGAGAGATTCTATGAATTGAAAAGTGGAGAAGGCAATATACCATCTTTTCCCAAGAAGGCAAAAGAAATGAAAGATAATAAAGAAAAGGAATCTGAGGAGAGCCATGAACATTGCATACCATATCCCAAGAAGCAAAAAAAAAGAAAGATAGGAATTGAAAAATGTATGGAGAAGGCAATGAAAAACCAATATACTATCTTTCCCAAGAAGGCAAAAAGAAAATAGGATAAAGAAAAGGAAAGAAAAGGCCTATATCCTGAGAAAGAAGAGCCATGATTGAAACCACTATACTATCTTCCTCAAGAAGAAGGCAAAAGAAATGATAATAAAAAAAGAATGATCATGATGAAATCCTGAAGGCAAAAGAAAAATGAATTGAAAATGTATGTGAGAAGGCAATGGAAAACCACTATACTATCTTTCTCAAGAAGACATGGCAATTCAAAGATAATAAAGAAAAGGAATCTGAGATGATTGCCTGAATCCTCGGAAGAGATCTTTTCCCATGAATTGAAAAAGAAATGAAGGAAATAAAGAAAATGTATCTGAGATGATTTTCTTTTCCCAAGAAGGCAAAAAAAAATGAAGTGGGAAATAAAGAAAAATATATGAGAAGATAATAAAGAAAAAGGAAATATACCATCTTTCCCAAGAAGGCAAAAAGAAATGATAGGAAATAAAAAAATGTATCTGAGAAGATTCATGAAAAGTCGGCAATGGAAAACAATATACTATCTTTCCCAAGAAGGCATGGCAATTCAAAGGATAATAAAGAAAAGGAATCTGAGAAGAGCCATGATTGCGGCAATATCCTTTGAAGAGAAAAAAGACTATGAATTGAAAAATGTGGAGAAGGCAATGAACAAAACCAATATACCATCTTTCCCAAGAAGGCATGGAAAAAAGAAATAAAGAAAAGGAATCTGTGGAGAGCCATGATTGCCTATATCCTGAAGAGAGAAAGACTAGGAATTGAAAAGTGTGGAGAAGGCAATGAAAACCACTCTACTATCTTTCTCTAAGAAGGCATGGCAATTCAAAGGAAATAAAGAAAAGGAATCTGAGAAGCCATGATTGCCTATATCCTGAAGAGAGAAAGACTATGAATTGAAAAGTGTGGAGAAGGCTTTCCCAAAAGGAAATGAAATTCAAGGAAATAAAGAAAAGTATCTGGCAGATTCATCAAAGCCAATATACCATAAAGAAAAGGAAGGAAAAGTGTGGAGAGGAAATAAAGAAAATGTATCTTTCTCATCATGAACAGTCGGCAATTCATCTTTCCAAGAAGGCAAAAAAAAAGAAAAATGATAGGCCATGAATTGAAAAAAAAATGAATTATGGAGAAGGCAATGAAAAACCAATATACTATCTTTCCCAAGAAGGCAAAAAATTCAAAGATAATAAAGAAAAGGAATCTGTGGAGAGCCATGATTGCCTATATCCTGAAGAGAGAAATGACTATGAATTGAAAAGTGTGTGGAGAAGGCAATGAACAAAACCACTCTACTATCTTTCCCAAGAAGGCATGGCAATTCAAAGATAATAAAGAAAAGGAATCTGTGGAGAGCCATGATTGCCTATATCCTGAAGAGAAAAGACTATGAATTGAAAAGTGTGGAGAAGGCAATGGAAAACCACTCTACTATCTTTCTCAAGAAGGCAAAAAAGAAAAATAATAATAAAGAAAAGGAATCTGTGGAGAGCCATGATTGCCTATATCCTGAAGAGAGAAAGACTATGAATTGAAAAGTGTGGAGAAGGCAATTCAAGAAGAAAACCAATCTACTATCTTTCTCTGTGGAAGACATGGCTAATTCAAAGATAATAAAGAAAAGAATCTGTGGAAAGCCATGATTGCCTATATCCTGAAAAAGATTCATGAAAGACTATGAATTGAAAAGTGTGGAGAAGGCAATGGAAAACCACTCTACTATCTTTCCCAAGAAGGCATGGCAATTCAAAGATAATAAAGAAAAGGAATCTGTGGAGAGCCATGACTGCCTATATCCTGAAGAGAGAAAGACTATGAATTGAAAAGTGTGGAGAGGGCAATGGAAAACCACTCTACTATCTTTTCTCAAGAAGGCATAGCAATTCAAAGATAATAAAATAAAGAAAAGGAATGCCTATGTGGAGAGCCATGAAAGAAAAATATCTTTGAAGGAACCATTCAAAGAGAGAAAAAGAGAAAGACTATGAATTGAAAAGTGTGGAGAAGGCAATGGAAAACCACTCTACTATCTTTCTCAAGAAGACATGGCAATTCAAAGATAATAAAGAAAAGGAATCTCTGGAGAGCCATGATTGCCTATATCCTGAAGAGAGAAAGACTATGAATTGAAAAGTGTGGAGAAGGCAATGGAAAAACCACTCTACTATCTTTCTCAAGAAGACATGGCAATTCAAAGATAATAAAGAAAAGGAATCTGTGGAGAGCCATGATTGCCTATATCCTGAAAGAGAAAGACTATGAATTGAAAAGTGTGGAGAAGGCAATGGAAAACCACTCTACTATCTTTCTCAAGAAGGCATGGCAATTCAAAGATAATAAAGAAAAAGGAATCTGTGGAGAGCCATGATTGCCTATATCCTGAAGAGAGAAAGACTATGAATTGAAAAGTGTGGAGAAGGCAATGGAAAACCACTCTACTATCTTTCTCAAGAAGCAACATGATAATAAAAGAAAAGGAATCAAAAGATAATAAAGAAAAGGAATCTGTGGAGAGAGCCATGGATTGCCTATATCCAAGAAGACAAGAAATTCAAAAGATAATAAAAAAGACTATGCCTAATTGAAAAGACTATGTGGTGGAGAAGGCAATGGAAAACCACTCTACTATCTTTTCCAACAAGGTATGGCAATTCATAGATAATAAAGAAAAGGAATCTGTGGAGAGCCATGATTGCCTATATCCTGAAGAGAGAAAGACTATGAATTGAAAAGTGTGGAGAAGGCAATGGAAAACCACTCTACTATCTTTCCTCAAGAAGACATGGCAATTCAAAGATAATAAAGAAAAGGAATCTGTGGAGAGCCATGATTGCCTATATCCTGAAAGAGAAAGACTATGAATTGAAAAGTGTGGAGAAGGCAATGGAAAAAAATCTTTCTCAAGAAGGCAAGCAATTCAAAAGATAATAAAAAAAAAAGGAATCTGTTCTCTATATCCTGAAGAGGCTATGAATTGAAAAGTGTTCAAAGCAATAATAAAGAAAAAGGCTATGAAGAGAAAAGATATGAAAGAAGGCATGGAAAGAGAAATAAAGAAAAGATCTGTGGAGAGCCATATCCTGAAGAGAGAAAGACTATGAATTGAAAAGTGTGGAGAAGGCAATGGAAAACCACTCTACTATCTTTCTCAAGAAGGCATGGCAATTCAAAGATAATAAAGAAAAGGAATCTGTGGAGAGCCATGATTGCCTATATCCTGAAGAGAGAAAGACTATGAATTGAAAAGTGTGGAGAAGGCAATGGAAAACCACTCTACTATCTTTCTCAAGAAGACATGGCAATTCAAAGATAATAAAGAAAAGGAATCTGTGGAGAGCCATGATTGCCTATATCCTGAAGAGAGAAAGACTATGAATTGAAAAAAGTGGAGAAGGCAATGGAAAACCACTCTACTATCTTTCTCAAGAAGACATGGCAATTCAAAGATAATAAAGAAAAGGAAAGAAAAAGGATATCCTGTGGATGAATTGAAAAGTGTGGATTGGAAAACCATACTATCCTGAAGAGAAAAGATAACTAGAAAAAGGAATTGAAAAGCCTATGTGGAGAAGGCAATGAAATGAAACTCTACTATCTTTCTCAAGAAGACATGGCAATTCAAAGATAATAAAGAAAAGAATCTGTGGAGAGCCATGATTGCCTATATCCTGAAGAGAGAAAAGACTATGAATTGAAAAGTGTGGAGAAGGCAATGAAAACCACTCTTACTATCTTTCCCAAGAAGGCATGGCAATTCAAAGATAATAAAGAAAAGGAATCTGTGGAGAGCCATGATTGCCTATATCCTGAAGAGAGAAAGACTATGAATTGAAAAAGTGTGGAGAAGGCAATGGAAAACCACTCTACTATCTTTCCCAAGAAGGCATGGCAATTCAAATAATATCTGCAAAAGCCAAATTGCCTATATCTGTGAGAGAGCCATGAAAGTGTGGAGAAGGATTGCCTATATCTTTCTGAAGCAATTCAAAGAAATAAAAGAAAAGGAATTGGAAATGATTGCCTATATCCTGGAGAAAAGGCAATGGAAAACAATGGAAACTCTACTATCTTTCTCAAGAAGACATGGCAATTCAAAGATAATAAAGAAAAGGAATCTCTGAGAGCCATGATTGCCTATATCCTGAAGAGAAAAGACTATGAATTGAAAAGTGGTGAAAGGCAATGGAAAACCACTCTACTATCTTTCTCAAGAAGACATGGCAATTCAAGATAATAAAGAAAAGGAATCTGTGGAGAGCCATGATTGCCCTATATCCTGAAGAGAGAAAGAATGAATTGAAAAGTGTGGATAAGGCAATGGGAAACTCTACGACTATCTTTCCCAAGAAGACATGGCAAAAGAAAAGATAATAAAGAAAAGAATCTGTGAAGAGAGATTGCCTATATCCTGAAGAGAAAATGAATTGAAAAGAAGGCAATGGGAAACCACTCTACTATCTTTCCCAAGAAGACATGGCAATTCAAAGATAATAAAGAAAAGGAATCTGTGGAGAGCCATGATTGCCTATATCCTGAAGAGAGAAAGACTATGAATTGAAAAGTGTGGAGAAGGCAATGGAAACCACTCTACTATCTTTTCTCAAGAAGACATGGCAATTCAAGATAATAAAGATAATAAAGCCTATAAAAGGAATCTGTGGAGAGCCATGATTGCCTATATCCTGAAGAAAGAAAGACTATGAATTGAAAAAGTGTGGAGAAGGCAATGGAAAACCAATGGAAATACTATCTTTCCCAAGAAGGCATGGCAATTCAAAGATAATAAAGAAAAGAATCTGAGGAGATTGCCTATATCTGACTGAATTGAAAAGTGTGGAGAGGCAATCTATATCCTGAAGAGAGCAATTCAACTATGAATTGAAAAGGAATGTGGAGAAGGCAATGGAAAACCAATTGAAAAGTGAGAAGGAATGGAGAAAAACCACTCTACTATCTTTCCCAAGAAGGCATGCAATTCAAAGATAATAAAGAAAAGGAATCTGTGAGCAGCCATGATTGCTCTATATCCTGAAGAGAGAAAGACTATGAATTGAAAAAGTGTGGAGAAGGCAATGGAAAACCACTCTATATCTTTCTCAAGAAGGCATGGCAATTCAAAGATAATAAAGAAAAGGAATCTGTGGAGAGCCATGATTGCCTATATCCTGAAGAGAGAAAGACTATGAATTGAAAAGTGTGGAGAAGGCAATGGAAAACCACTCTACTATCTTTCTCAAGAAAGCATGGTAATTCAAAGATAATAAAGAAAAGGAATCTGTGGAGAGCCATGATTGCCTATATCCTGAAAGAGAAAGACTATGAATTGAAAAGTGTGGAGAAGGCAATGGAAAACCACTCTACTATCTTTCTCAAGAAGACATGGCAATTCAAAGATAATAAAGAAAAAGGAATCTGTGGAGAGCCATGATTGCCTATATCCTGAAGAGAGAAAGACTATGAATTGAAAAGTGTGGAGAAGGCAATGGAAAACCACTCTACTATCTTTCCCAAGAAGACATGGCAATTCAAAAGATAATAAAGAAAAGGAATCTGTGGAGAGCCATGATTGCCTATATCCTGAAGAGAGAAAGACTATGAATTGAAAAGTGTGGAGAAGGCAATGGAAAACCACTCTACTATCTTTCTCAAGAAGACATGGCAATTCAAAGATAATAAAGAAAAGGAATCTGTGGAGAGCCATGATTGCCTATATCCTGAAGAGAGAAAAGACTATGAATTGAAAGTGTGGAGAAGGCAATGGAAAACCACTCTACTATCTTTCTCTCAAGAAGACATGGCAATTCAAAGATAATAAAGAAAAGGAATCTGTGGAGAGCCATGATTGCCTATATCCTGAAGAGAGAAAGACTATGAATTGAAAAGTGTGGAGAGGGCAATGGAAAACCACTCTACTATCTTTCCCAAGAAGGCATGGCAATTCAAAGATAATAAAGAAAAGGAATCTGTGGAGAGCCATGACTGCCTATATCCTGAAGAGAGAAAGACTATGAATTGAAAAGTGTGGAGAAGGCAATGAAAAACCACTCTACTATCTTTCCCAAGAA